TTTCTTGATTAATTAGTAAATTAGTGTTTTACAAAAAATAACTCATTTTTGCATTTAATTTTGAGTTTTGAATTTTGGTAGTTTTTCTTTTAATTTGGTATTTAATTATTTGTGGTAGTTGTTATTTAGAGTTAATTAATTTAATTTGGTAGGATAATTTGTATTAGGAATTTATTTAGATTCTATTTTTAATTTTAAAAAAAGAAAAAGAGTTTCTAAAATAAATGGAAAAAAAAGAAGTGAAAAGAATCAGATTTTTGGGCTAATTTCATTAAATCTCAAGCCCAATTGATTTATTCCCCATTAACCCGTCCAAACCCGGTCAAAATCAGCCCATGCTCGCGATTTTTACCCGGTCCAATCCCACTCAAAACCAAATGACCCCGTTTTTGTGGTCCCAAATTTGAGCCGTTTGATCTCGTTCAAATCAACGGCTGGGAATTGGTTACATGACAATATAAAACTGTCTGAAGGTTGACCCCCCCAAACTCGTTTCTCTTAATTCTTCATCATCAGAGATTCGAACACAAACCCTAGCACCGCCTCATTTTCCACCGTATCCGCCCGGCGGTGCCACCCCCAAATGACCCTAAATCCACACCACAGAACCCCCTTCACCTCCTCTTCCCCAATCCCTAACTCCTTTCCCTCTAATCACCACAGAACTTCTCGAATCTCAAATCACAGCTCGAACCCTAAAATTCCAACACCCCAAATCGGCGAGACTATTTGAAGATTTGAGATTGAAATAGACTTTATTCGCGTGTTTTCATACGAGAACACAAGATTAAAGTCTATTCCAGTCAGAAATCGAAGATTTCCTTTGAAAGTTTTCAAGATTTCATTCGTTTGGTTTTAGATACTTTCAGCTTCTCTTCCTCTTCTTGCATGTGTTTCTTTTTATTCGTTTAAATTCATTTTTTTCATCTTTTTCTGCCTCCTCTGTTCTTCTTTGTTATGCGTTCGTTTTAATTTTTATTCTGTTGCATAATTAGATTAATAACCAAGTATAGTTTACTTTTGTTTTGTTTTTTTTTGTATAAAATTAATTAATTCATTTCCTTTTTCTTTTGGTTTTGGGTTTCATCTTAAAGGTTTCTGGTTTCTTTTAGCCCGTTCAATTATGATTTTGGGATTATGGCTCAAATTGGGTTTTGAAAATCAGAAAGCCCAAAAGGGGATTCAACCTGAGTTATACAGACCTATAACAAATTGATTTGGGCCTGTTTGACCCATGTTCTGTCTGGCTTCAGGGGTAATAACAGGGTGTTTAAGGGGTAATTTGGGGATTTAAGCTAGGGAATATATCTGTTAACTGAATAGGAAGCTTCCTAGAAGGTGCCTTTAGGACTAGATTGAAAATCTTATTTTTAAGCTAAGGGTATTTGAGCAAAAATAAAAATATCAAAATGTTTAAAGTGCAAATCTGAATCCCTTTTATGCTGCCCTAAGACTTGCCTATAAAGACATTTTTTCTTCTTTAGCAAGTCAGATTTTAGAGACATAAAATACTGAAAAATTTGAAACGACTGGAGCCTGGGGAAAAACCCTGAAAAAGCATTGAAATCCCTGCATTTCTTTGTTACAAGCTACCAAAATTCTGTTTGTTTTGGGTTTCTGATTCTCTTCTTTAGCTAAAACCCTTGAAAATTCCATAGTTATACTTATGGTTTGAGAAATGGCTTGAGCTTTGGTTTGAAGTTGGGTTTTGAGTTGTTGTTCCTCCACTGTTCTATCGACTGTTTTGAGCTGTTTCTACTGTTTCATTGACTGAATCTGGGCTCTGTTCTACTTCTACTGGTTACTGTTTCTTCACTTTTTTGTTTCCCTTTTATTTCCAGGTATTTCCTTCAATCCATGAATGGAAATGAATTTTATTATGGCTGTTATGTGAAGCCATGTAGTTCAAGTTGAAGAAATTGATAATTGTCACTTCTCTGTTGCATTACCAGCTTTTAAGTTTGTTATATTTAGTTTTATCTTTCTTCTAGCCAAGCTCTCTCATGTGTAGCCAATCATGTCATCAAATGCTACATGTTTATCTTAAGATTTAAGTATGGGTTTGTTTGAGTGTAATCGACTTAGAAATATCTTGGATTTTATGTAATATGTGCTAATTGAATCAGTAGTCAGATTTTTTGCATTCAACCATGCTAAATAGTACTATGTAGACTGCCTTTGAATTCTGTTTACCTTGTGTTTCAGTTAAATTATTATCAGCATGTTTGTAGGGCACAAATGACCCTTTACCTCATGGATGATTTCCAAGCTAATAGTTGGCAGATCTAGGCAGTACTTCCTTTTGAAATCCATGTTCTATGGTTTATGTTTGAATGTTAGGTGTTTAAAATCATGGTCACATAATATCAATCTCTCTAGGATTTATGAGTTTAATTGAGGTTCAAGTCCTCACGCTTTGGTTGTAAAATAGTTTGAGCTTTTAAATGAAAGTGGCATACGGTGCAATTGGTGTCATTAGAGTAATTACATTCAAGAAATAATTTCTTTTAAAATGGCGTTCTGGCTTAGTGATTGTTTCACCCTTTACTCTGTTGCGTTATTTGGTTAAAATCTGATATGGATCAGTCTGTAGTTCTAAAGCCCAATGTATGCTGTTTTGTGCTATTGAAGGGACTCGATCCTTAGTCCCAGCTTTGGGATGATGGTATGTCCTCAGAGTTGGGTTCCCTTTTGGGCTTAGCTTAAGCTATTGTGGAATCAGCCACTTGGTAGCCTTGTAATTTTCGATAGGCTATTGGGCTTCACTTCAAGCCCAGGCTTTGAATAGATTGGACTTCGTTTAATATTGGTCCGTCTATTTAAGTGAATCAAGTCCTGGTTTTAGTTTAGAATAATTATAGTTCCTTTAAATCGTCCTTAATTAATTAGTTGGGCTTTTAAAAGCAGATTGGAGGCATGCCATATTAGGTAAGACATAGTTTATGGCCCTCCAAGGTTTAGTTCAAGTTCCCTTTAAAAAATTGGAATCGAGGTGTGCCGTGCCAAACAAAATCTCAAAATGCATGGCCCTCGCATAATTAGTATTTTAATCCTTAGAAATCGAGGCGTGCCATTTAGATGAATTTTCCATGGCCATCGCTAATGTGAAAGAGCGTAGTTGCTTTAGACGCGCTATTTAAAAGTTACTCTCCTAAACTCGGGTGTGCATTTATGTGACCCAAATCCAAACCTCAACAACGTTAGATAAATGTGTTGTGGACCGCGGGTGCATTTATGTGACGTGGTTCAAGACGTGTTTTAGATGACGTTGAATCTTTCCTAAAAAAATAATTAATTAAAAGCGGTTATAAAGCTAAAAATGCACAATAGGTTAAAACATGTAGTAAATCAGATAATATGCCAATTATTAATAGTTTAAGCGACCGTGCTAGAACCACGGAACCCGAAAATACCTAACACCTTCTCCCGGGTTAACAGAATTTCTTATCCAGAATTTCTAGTTCGCAGACTTATAAAGTAAAGTCGAAATTTCCTCGATTTGGGATTTTAAAATAAACTGGTGACTTGGGACACCAAATAAACTATCCCAAGTGGCGACTCTGATAATTTAAATAAATAATCCCATTTTGTATAATGTCACTTTAATTGGAAAAACTCCCTTATATCGCCCTCGGGTGGTAAAAAGGAGGTGTGACATTGACTAGAGTTCAAACATATGGATTTCACAATCCTTAACAACTTGTTTAATAAGCCAGATACAAGTTTCTCTAAGAAATTGGAGTTGAGTATAGCTGAAGTGAGAAACTTGGGTTAGACATTTAGAAGTGTTTAGACCAAGATCTGTACGATGTTGAATGAGACACACACACTAATATCAAGTGAGAACATCGTAGCACGTGTTTCATACCACGTGTGCAATCGACCATTGAGATAATGGAAGAATGGATCCCTGCTTCTTCATTTTGTGAGATCCCGAAATGGTTACATTAACTTTTAATGGAAATACCCTTTGACCTTTTACTGTCTCTTGAAGTACCTATCAGTATTACTACTTTAGCATGTCAGTAATAGCCATGAGGGATTCGGCAATACAGTGCATGTCTAGGAAAGCAAATGATTTGGAATTAATAGATTCGAGTAGAAAGGGAAGACAACTAAAATAAGTATTTAACTTATATTCACAAGTCGAGCATTACAGTTACCATGAGGGTATCAAGCGTAATTATGGGTACGATGTTATAAACATGAACTTGATTTCAACTCTTTTGAGGATGAAGGATCAGATAACTAGCTATTGGAGTAGCAAATGATAGTCTAGGATATTGCGAGCAACAAGATCCTCATGTTATTACTGAATCCTTTCCGCATGTGATTGGATTTCTACGTAGAACTTTTGTACAACCTTAATGGCTTTGGATTATTATAGCTCTTGAGACTCGCAGATCGCACAAACTATGTCTCTATGAAAACCTGTGTTGTCAGTATGATACTTGCTTGGGTCTAGCCCACCATGAGCGAAGTGGGAGATGTTGGAGTATTGGGTTTGGGTCGCTCCATGTGGGTTGATCCGACCCGGTTAGATAGAAAAAGTAAAAGAAGTTAGATGGGAGTCACAATACCAAAAAACTACAACATAGAAGCAGTACGCTTAAATGAGGAATTAGATTCCACAACTTGGTAACTTCTCTTTATGAGGAATTAGATTCCACAACTTGGTAACTTCTCTTTCAACCGTCTTCTTCCTTTTCTTCTTCAACAGAGAACAAATACTCTGTGATTTTTCCATCAAAAACACACAAGAGAGGAAAGACAACTTGTTTGTGGATATAAACTTCCTTTCCTAGTGAATTGAAGTTTGACTTAAGAACAACTTTTTGATGGTGAGTTCAACGATTCTTTCGTTGTATATAAAAAGGTACACAACTTATTGTTCTCGCCCCTCGGTTTAATCTAACAAGAATGATACAAAGTAAAACGGAAGTGAGAAACCAAATTATTACGATCAAGTGCATAAGATGAGCACAAGATAAATAGGGCACAGCAAAGAATGTTCAAATATAATAATTAACAACATGAACCATCCTGATCTCTCTGATGCATGTGATAAACCTAAAAATTGAATACACAGTGCCCGTATTTTTCGTCTCTACCCATCATGTAGTGTCCGATTTCATCCTGCAAAACAGCAAAAGCTACGTCTTAATCATAAAATACCCTTTTGCCAAAATTGGTGGTAATCCAAGTACTTAGAAGGAAAGAAAAAGAAAACTTAATGCCTGCAGTTTCTCATGCAGTGGCAGATTGTCATAGTAATAATATAATCCACTTTGCTAATAAGTAGTATTATATTGGCATGACGTTTGTGAAGGTACAGATTAAGCTGTTAGCTACATTAGTAATTTTGTGTACATATATGCTTGATAATCTGTGAGAATAACCAGTTATTAAGTGAAAAGGGAAATTATATCAAACACTTGAAGAAAGCAAACTTTGAGACGTACGCTGCAAATTCCTCGTCTGGTGATCAAAAAGTTCTCACCCAACATTTCTTTAAACCATTCATCAGAGAATATATGGATTATAGAGCATCTAAGAGAAGCTGGTACTCTGTTATCATCATTGTCATCATTATGATCGAAGACATCAGCTTCTGGCTCTGTTACAAACAAAAACAGAAGTTGAATATCAGATAAAAAGTGCACGAATGTCTCACCTATGGAAAGAGAAAATGAGTTATCTACTTTTATATAACCTGCTTCAGATAGCTAAATATTTAATTAGACTTGTTTTGGTGATCGCATAGAATTGATACAATGACACTAAGGTATAAATTCACATGGTTTCCGCTTTCAAATCTCGTCTGCTTTAAATTAGAAGGCATGTACACAAATACATCCTGAGTACCGAAAGACAGCAATAATGGTAGAGCAATACTTACTGGAAGATCATCTAGCTTACCTACTGGATCTGGAATTGGTAAATTTCTGCGCAAGCCGTCGATCCCAGCAATAATTATACAGGCAAGACCAAGGTGTGGGTTTGCAGATCGATCAAATGTTTTAATTTCAAAATTGGTTACTACGCCATCTGGAGCTCCAGGAGGGCAACAAGCTCTTATAGTTAACTCTTTGCATTCCACCCCCCAGCAAAGGTATGATGAATTCCACGACTTAGGCATTAAGCGCTCATAACTGTACATAATTAACATATAAAATTCATTAAAATAAAGAGACTATAATTTTCAATTATCTCTACCCAGTTAAGTCCAATCGCACAAATAAAATTTTGTTGATTTACTGCTGGATAGACCAGACTGAGTTCAAGCAAAACAAGAGACATTAAGGGCTAACAACGATTAAAAAAGGAAAGATGGAAAGGGNGAACATTTTAAACTTCACGAAGGATATAATAATTTTTTTGAAAATAGTTTCACAGAACCTAGAAGAAACAACAAGAAATATTAATTTTTTTACCCACTATACCACCCAAACCTACCCATCAAGGTGTCTTCGTTTACAAGGGTAAAGTTTTGTGACTTTGCTGTTATATAGTGGGGAAAAGTTTAGTTACCATTTGACAAAAATAACTATGTGACATTATTGTTATAGTGGGTAGAATTTAGTAACTTATTGTGATAAGAGAGAGTTTTGTGACTAGCAATAGTGAGTAAAATTCAATGACTTGCATGAAAATAAACCTACAACGGGATATTTCTATCAGATAAATCTGCTCATATTGAACAATTGGCACTCTAGAAGAAGTGTATGCCAATGATCAACATATTTAAAGGAAGCAGTACATTAAGAGTAACAGAGAATATGCTTACCTGTTTTCAATAGGCATTGTAAATAAACATATGGAACGAAGATGATCTAACACCCCAGCCATGAACGATTCTCCAATCTTGGTCATCCCATACCGATTTGGTTCAATAGATGCCATAGAAACGTTTTCCCCATTCTTAGACAAACTGATGTGCAAATGTGATCCAGAGCCAACATCGTCTTTTGAATATTCATCATACCAGGGATAGACATTATCGTAATAATACCTAGACAGTAAAGTAAAGAAACATCAATTATAACTTGAATTGACCTTTCATCTTATCAATGTTAATGACATTGATAAGAAACAACGGAAGAAATTGCACAAGTGTACGCAGAATATGTTAATGATTCTGAGCATAAGGGTTCAATCTAATAAAGATGAAAAAAATATCCAGATAAACAAGTAAAAAGAAAAATGCACATGAAAATGCTGTGGTAAAATCTGCTACCAACCTTGGCATAAAACTTGCTAGCAGCCCATGTTTCCTTGCAATTCCTTTGATGATTTCATGTGTAATTATTAAGTTATTAGCTGCTCTATGACAATCTGTGTATTCCAGGACAATTTCGAACTGGCCTTTCCCAGCTTCTGAATGTAGCTGCATACTAAAAGGAGGAAACATCAAATGGGGCAGTATAGTAGGCCACACTGTAAAATATATGAGCTATCTTGTTCTCATTCTAGGTAAAAGTGAAAATTATGTAGAGATTGTTGATGGTGTTCATAAAGAAATGATCCACGTAAACCATAACAGCAAATAGACGAGTTATTCTTTTAGGTAAAGACTATCCATGGTCAACAGTAAATTAGTATAAATGGATCAGACTTTCTCTAGTTCTTCTTTGCAAGGTTCAACCAGGATTACACAACACAGATAGTTACAAGTCATATTCTTCGACCGAAAATTACTTTCTTGTCTATTCCAAATTAAGACACATTTTGACTCGGCACAGACAAAACAAAATACTTTTGAAACTCGTAGTCTTTAAAGCATAGAGGGTAAAATATTTGTGTGGCAGTAAAACCTTCTCATTAAGAGTAAATAGAAAACTTAAAGTTAAATTGTTTCCAAATATATAAATGTGTCATTCTTTTTCGAACAGATGAATAAGAAAAATGTGTCACATAAATTGAAACAGAAGGCGTACTAATTAAAGAACTAAAAAAATGCAAGAGTGTGAAAATATGGTGACAAAATATATGAGCTAAGAAAAAAAATTCTTGTCTTTATAACCAGAGGAGGCTCAACAATACTTGAGGCCCAAAGCCAAAGTTTAATTGGAGACCCTTAAATAATAATTTTAATAGATATTTTTATTTATGATCTACAGTAATTTTTCACTTTTTAAAATGCAAAGTAGTTAATTATTTTTCTGTAACCGATTTCATCTAATAATTCTGTTTCATCTACACACACACACACACACACACACACACACACACATATATATATATATATATACACACACACACACACACACACATATATTGTTACACCCCATATTTTCGTAAGTGAAAGTACGCCATAAGTAAATTGATGGAAGCTCCAAAATGAGATATTAGGAACGGAGGAGGAACTTCGCTTTTGGATTTCGCTAAAGCTTTTGAGCTGCTGATTGCGAACTCTAGCTTTCCGAAAAGGGAGGAGCATTTGGTTACATTCCAAAGTACAGGGACAAAGACTCAAATTGACTACCTCTTCCTCAGGAGGTGTGATAGAGGGTTGTGTAAGGATTGCAAGGTGATCCCGGGGGAGATCCTCGCGACACAACATAGGCTCTTGGTGATGGACGTTGGTATCATGATAAAGAGGAAGAAGAGGTCTATTCGAGGACAACCGAGGATCAGGTGGGGAGCCTTGACAAAGGATAAAGCTCAGGAGTTGGAGGGGAGGTTATCGGCTATGGGAGCTTGGAGGAGTAGTGGGGACGTGGCCGCTATGTGGACGACGATGGCGAACTATATAAGGGAGGTGGCGAGAGAGGTATTAGGGATCTCGAGGAGTTACTCTAACGGGCACAAAGGTGACTGGTGGTGAAATGAAGTGGTCCAAGATAAAGTGAAAGCGAAGAAGGCTGCGTACTTGAAGTTAGTAGGGAGCACAAGAGAGAAAGAGAGGAGAGCGAACAGAGAGAGGTATAAAGTAGCTAGGAAGGAGGCGAAGTTGGCAGTCACAGAGGCTAAGACTACAACGTTTGGTCGTCTGTACGAGGAATTGGGGGACAAAGGCGGGGATAAGAAGTTATTCCAGCTGGCCAAGGTGAGGAAGGCTTGGGATCTGGACCAAGTGAGGTACATCAGAGACGAGGACGGTAGAGTATTGATGGGAGAGGCACAGATTAAGCGAGATGGCGGACTTACTTTCATAAACTTCTGAATGAAGAAGGGGACAAGGATATTGTGCTAGGTGAATTGGGGCATTTTGAGAGTCTCCGAGATTTTGGGTAACTGTAGACGCATCGAGTTTGAGGAGGTCGTGGGGGCTATGCGTAAAATGAGCAGGGGCAAAGCAACCGGGCCAGAGGAAATTTTAACAATAACGTCATACATGCAAAAAGTATGATACTGGTCAATGTACTTCTACATATATTCTTATCCTTGAATTCAACTTTCGTTTTCCGAAACTAGGGAATATCCTTTTAAATTTGTGTGAAAATAATTTTCAGTATATTTATGTTTTGCAAATATAATAAATAAAGCACAAGGACAAACATCCTAAATATTAGACTATATATACTGCAATATATTTTCTTGCACAAACAACTGTATGTTGCACCTTCAAGAGGGATATCAAGATCGACAACAAGAATTCTGGTTAAGGTAGAGCAACCAAAGCAATAGGAGAAAACATACACAAAACAAAATCCACAAAGAAGTGTCCGTTAAGATACCATCATATTAAATACTTTTAAACTATAATACATTATTATCTAACTAACATGACAAAATTGATCATTTGTGCAAGTTTTGATGATGTTCTTTATTTTAAATTCATGTATTATGCTAATGTAATAATCTTTTTCGGCATTTAGATGATTGTTATATTATTAAACATAAAATTTCTCTCAGTGGTTAAATTTTATTGTTCCTTCGTATAAATAATATTTAAATCATCACGTGCCATTATTAATACTAATATTTATATTAATACTAATATTTATATAAATATACTTATATTATTTTTTTACTTTCACATTATTTTATTTGGTAATAATGATAATATGAGTTGAGCTTAAAAGAAGAAATGAGAATTCGTATCGTCAACCCCAATTTGTTTGGAACTAGGGCGTAATAGCAGTAGTTGTATGTTTCAAAGCAAGCAAGTGGTACATATGAGTCCATTTGTCAAGCTCAAGTAATATAATATCCTCAGACAAGTGATATTAGTTATGTGACATATAAAACAAAATTCCTCGTCATTTCGTAAATGAAAATTGCAAAATTCAACTAGCAATGAAAAATAGATTTTTCGCACTTTTTTCCCGGTATTTATAACATTGCTTCGTCATAAATGTCTTCTAAACGCAAGAATAATTCGGTAATGAACGTTAATTGTTGCGGAAGATCGTGGGTTAACTAACACACAATCACACACAAAGCAAATAGAGAAGAAAAAACAACACAAGGATATAACGAGGTTCGGCTTAGCCTAATCCCCGAGGCAGAAGCAGAGAGAGTTTTCCACTATGAATGAGAAGAAAAACACAATACAATCTATAGAATCTCAAACTACAACCCCTATATATAGATCCCAAATAGTCTCAAACCTACGAAAGAAAGGTTTTCCAATTTGACAAGGACAACAGATTTTCCTTTCCCAAATCTATTAGGACAATGAGTTTTCCCAAACCTATAGGGATTATGGGTTTCCTAAAAAATACAAGGAAATAATTCAAGCCACCAATAACAAATTTTCCCCTTTGGCTTGAATTCTCATCAAGAGGAACAACATCTCTCTACCTTGTCCTTAGCCCTCGCAAGGGCTCTACCCATTTTCACACACATCAACCAAGTCTAGGTAACGCCTAAACTTGTTAAGAGACTCAATCTCCTCAGTTATAGCACTAATCTCATCGAGTTGGTTCTGTACTCGGAATAACTTCTGGATAGCTATAACACTCAAACTCATTAACGGTTTCGGCAACTGCCAAAGCAAATCCCACAGGATTCGTATATCCAAGAAGATTCTCATCAACCTCGTTTGCAAACCTTTGCAGTCGATTGATCACTCTCTTCTCTCTGCTTGTTGCAATGTTATATGGTTGATGTTGCACATGTGCATTAATATTATCATTTTGATCAATATTTTGCACCTCATCCACTTCCTTTACTTTAGAATTACTGGGCTAGGCTAGTAGAGATTCAATTTCTAGCTCTAAGCGCTCACTGACACCACGATCTGTTTCTGCAATTGCCTTTTCCCTCTGACTGTCCAGTGAGGCAGATTCATTGAATGTTACACCCCTATTGATAATTAGCTCTGGAGTATTTTGATCTGTGCACCACAACCTATAATCTTTCACTCCAGTTGCATACCCTAGAAATATGCACTTCGTTGCTCTCGACTCAAGTTTTCCACCCCTCACACGAGCATAAGCAGGACAACCAAATATCCTTAAATTTGAATAATCAGCAGGCGAATAGGACTATACCTCAAAAGGACTTTTGAACTCAATAGTGTTAGATGGAGATCTGTTGACCAAATAACAAGTTGTATTGGTTGTTTCAGCCCAAAAATCCTTGCCAATACATGAGTGTGAAAGCATGCTCCGTGCCCTATCACAAAGCGTTCTGTTCATACATTCTGCAACACCATTATGTTGTGTTGTTCCGACACAAGTGAGGTGTCTCACTATGCCCTCTCTTTAGCGAACTCATAATTGCAAAATTCCAACCTATTGTCAGTTCGAAAACGCTTCACTTTTCTTTCATCTGCCTCTCAACCATCGTCTTTCATTTAACAAATGTCGGAAATGCCTCATCTTTTATTTTGAGAAAATACACCCACACCATCCTTGAGTAATCATCAATCAAAGTCATAAAATACATGGCACCACTCTTGGAGGGAACTCTGTTTGGACCCCACAAGTCTGAATGTATATAATCTAACTTGTCCCTAGTCATGTGCTCGGCTTCTTGCTGAACTTTACCCTTGTCTGTTTATCAAACACACAATGCTCACAAAAATACAAAACTTGATTTTTGTACCCGTTCAACAAATTCTGCTTACTCAACAAAGACAATCCCTTATCACTCATATGACCAAGTCGCAAGTGCCACAACTGAGACAGATTCATATCACTTTTCCCAGAAGCTACAGCACTTTCCTCTTCAACTATACTGGTCTGAAGATGATACTATTTAGAATGCAGTTTACTCTTCATGAGTACCATAGAGCCTTTACACACTTTAAGTATTCTATTTTCGGAGTGAAACTTACACCCTTGATCATCTAATGTCGAAAGAGAAATCAAATTTTTCTTTATCAGAGGAATATGCCAACACTCAATGTTTCTGACAATTCCATAGAACGTTCCCAAACTAATGTTACCAATCCCCTCTACTGGTAATGGATTATCATCTCCCATGTAGACAATCTCACTCATTTGCTTGTAAGTTGCAAACTAATTCTTGTGTGGACACATGTAGAAAGTAGCACAAGAATCAAGAACCCAAGAATTTTGCCCATGACTAGAACACACATCACAGACTTCCCCTACATAGTCACAATCATCAGAAGTATTGCTCTCTATTTCCTCCTTCCCTCTTTTCTCTTTTAGCTTGGGACAATCTCTCTTGTATTGACCTTACTCCCCCACTCATAACAATTATGCTTCGTTGCTCTAGACTTCGATCTGGCGGTGGACTTTTTCCTGTTAAAGTCTTTTTGTTGTGTTCTTCCTCTACTCACAAGGTTCTCGCCCTCAATTCTGCTGTCTAGAAAGCTCTTTTTCAACTCTTTAGATTTTAGCGCATTACTAACATCTTCCAATGAAATATTGTCTTTCCCATATAACAGCGTATCAGCAAAAGTATCATAAGACGGTGGTAAAGAACATAACACAATCAAGGCTTGATCCTCGCTCTCAATTTTGATATCCACGTTCTTCAGGTCCATTATAATTGAATCAAACTCATCAAGGTGAGTTTTAACGGGTGTACCTTCATTCATACGGAGATTGTATAATCTCTTTTTCAGGTAGAGACGGTTTGTCAGCGATTTCTTAGAATACAGATCTTCCAGCTTCTTCCATGTCGTTGCTCTAGAAGTTTCTTCAGCAATTTCCCGAAGAATGCTATCTGTAAGCTCATGAAGATTGCACTCAAATCCCTCTCCTTCAGGTTTGCCTTCTCTATCTCTTTCATCTCTTCAGGAAAATCCTCATCAATTGCCTTCCATAACCCTTGTAACACCAGGGACGATTTCATCCTAATCTTCCATAGACTGAAACTGGAACCCCGTCAAATTTCTCTACTTTGTATTTCGTTGAAGATGATGAAGACATCTTAGCCCTAGATTATATGTAGAAACTCGAACCTTGCTCTGACACCAATTGTTACAGAAGATCGTGGGTTAACTAGTGCACAATCACATACAAAACAAATAGAGAAGAAAAACAACACAAGGATTTAACGAGGTTCGGCTAAGCCTAATCTCCGGGGCAAGAGCAGAGAGAGTTTTCCACTATGAATGAGAAGAAAAGCACAATACAATCTATAGACTCCCCAACTACAACCCCTAAATATAGATCCCAAATAGTCTCAAACTTATAAGAGAAAGGTTTCTCGATTAGACAAGGACAATAGTTTTTCCTTTCCAAAATCTATTAGGACAATGAGTTTTCCCAAATCTATAGGGATTATGGGTTTTCTAAAAAAATACAAGGAAATAATTTTAAGTCACAAATAACAAATATTACTGAAAACAAAGAATAATCTCGTAAGGTCCCTCGTACCTACTGCAAAGCTTTACTTTGAGTAAAAGGAAAACATGTACTAGTAGTTTGTTCTGTTGGTCCGTTGCATGAAGTCCTTATTTAGGTATACTCTTTTAGTATGCAGTCATTTTTCCATGGAACTATAAAGAAAAGTACTGTAAAATATAGTAATAGTTGTAGCACTCTAAAAGTTCCTAATAATTTGCAGTTCTCTATATACAATCAATTTCGCAAACTAAGAATCAAGGAAATGCAAACTAACCTGCTCGACAATAATATTCAAGGACTGCAATGAAACGAAAACCTCTTCAAGAACTGATGATGCAACATCTATTGCTGCTGTAGAGCAGTAAGAGGACCTGTCAATTGCGGCCCATGTTTCTTTTCCATCCCTGTAGTATTTCTTTTCACGTTTAGTGTTAAAAGTTATAATAAGAAACTCCAAACACATCATATATCATAGAAGGGAAACTCCAAAAACAAAATATAAGAGGGAACTTCCCTGACATACTTTATTACACTCTTCAAAAGGTAAAATTCAACTTCAATCCCTACATTCATGACCTGAAAATATAGATATGCATTAGATCAATAATATCTTTCAGCTCCTGTACAAAAGATCTTAAAACATACCAAGCCAAATTCATCTTCTAAAATTGTTGAAAATCTACGAAGCACATCCCTCGGACAGTACTGCCATGCTTTACCAGGTTCAGTTAACATGTCAACCAAAACCATTTCTTGGTTTCTTGCCCTGTATCAAAAGGTGCACATAAACATGCATGATTGCATATGTGTAAACTCTGGAATAGTATCAGTCCAAGTTATAGAGAAACTTGATAAGTTAATTGAACAGTTGCCAAGCCAAGGTCCATATCTTCTCGTTGACAAGACAAAACAATGAAATAATTAGACATGAGTTTGTCCACAACTTCAAACTATTCAACTAAAAATTATTTAGTTTGATGCTATATTCTGCCCATTTCCTAGTTTGATGCCATATTCTGCCCATTTCCTACAAGTTGTCAAAGTAGCCGTATATCACATAGTATAATGAGAATTTAAAAACCTTCATCAATAGAGCGCTCTCTCTCTCTCTCTCTCTCTCTCTTTCACACACACACACAAAACCAAAAATACCTAAAAAGAGATCACATTTATTTTATTTATGAATTGATAGGTTGTTAACCCTGATTTAGCGTCAGTTAATTGGTCATTTGGAAATAAGTTTATAGTTGTTGGCTCGAAAGTTAAAGGGATGGCTTAATTCGCAACCTGTTTTCCTAACATTAGATGTTTAGAGAAAATTATGCACAAGTTGCTTCGAGATTTTAGAACTTTCATGATAAATGTCTCTTAAGTTGTTTTCGTGTTCGTTTAGACTTATCAGTGTGCTTATTGTGTTAGCGTGATTAAGGTCGGGTAGTTGCAACTTATCTTATTACTTATTAGCCTTTAGTATATCGTAGGTTACTGTGGTTGTGGGGGAAGATGGTGGATTAAGGACATGTCCTCGGGTAGGTAAGGGAGTGGGGCAGAGGGAAGGAGGTGGGTTAGGGGCCAAGGGTGGTAAGGGGAATAAGGGAGCTATTAGGTTGAGAATTGGATCTTGGAACATAGGAACTTTAACAGGGAAGTCTATAGAATTAGCTAAGATTCTTCAGAAGAGAAAGATTAATATAGCTTGTGTTTAGGAGACTAGGTGGGTAGGGTCTAAGGCGCGGGAGGTGGACGGGTTTAAACTGTGGCACTCAGCAGGTAAGAGGGGTAAGAACGGAGTAGGCATCTTGGTGGACAAGGATCTCAGGGAGCTAGCGGTAGAGGTTGGGCAGGTGAATGATAGGCTGATGGCTATTAAATTAGTAGTTGAAGGGCGTACTTTGAATGTTATAAGCGCTTACGCGCCCCAAGTGGGCCTGGATGAGGAGGTTAAAAGGCGCTTTTGGGAAGGTTTGGATGGGGTGTGCGTGGTATTCCGCCCATTGAAAGGATATTCACAGGAGAGGATTTTAATGGGTATATTGGGAGGTCTGTTGGGGGCTATGATGAGGTGCATGGCGGCTCTGGCTTTGGGGTCAGAGACGGAGGAGGTAAGTCGTTGTTGGATTTTGCTAAGGCGTTTAATTTGGTGATAGCAAACTCGAGTTTTCAAAAGAGGGAAGAGCACTTGGTTACCTTCAAGAGCACGGCAGCCAAGACCCAAATCGACTATCTCCTTCTCCGGAGGTGTGGTAAAGGTCTATGTACTGATTGTAAGGTTATTCTGAGTGAGAACCTCACGACGCAGCATAAGATTTTAGTGATGGACTTAGACATCATGCTAAAGAGGAAGAAGTGGGTTGGGTGTGGTCGACCGAAGATCAGGTGGGGAGCTCTAACTAAGGACAAGGCCCAGGAGTTGCAAGAGAAATTGTTGGTTATAGGGGCTTAGGGGAGTAGTGGGGAAGCGAGTAGTATATTGACGAGGATGGCAGATTGCATTAGGGAGGCCGCGAGAGAGGTGTTAAGGGTCTCTAAAGGTTACGCTAGAAGCCACAAAGGAGACTGGTGGTGGAATGAGGAGGTCCAAAGAAAAGTAAAAACCAAGAAAGTAGCATATTTAAAGTTAGTAGAGAGCACGAACGAGGAGGAGAAGGGTATAAGAAGGCTAAGAAGGAGGCGAAGTTAGCGGTCATGGAGGCTAAGACTGCAGTGTTTGCTCGTTTGTACGAAGAACTGTGGGACAAAGGCGGGGGCATAAAGTTGTTTCGGCTGGCTAAGGAGGGGGAGAGGAAGGCGAGGGATCTGGACCAAGTGAGGTACATCAAAGATGAGGACGACCGAGTTTTAATGGAGGAGGCATAGATCAAGCGAAGGTGGCACACTTACTTCTATGAACTGCTAAATGAAGAGGGGGATATGAGCATTGTGATGGTCGATTTGGAGAACTCTGAGAGCCAGTGTGATCTTAGATACTGTAGGCGCTTTAGTTTCGAGGAGGTCGCAGGGGCGGTACGTAAGATAAGCAGGGGCAAAGCGACTGGTCCAAAAGATATCTAGTTGAATTCTGCAAGTATGCGAATAGGGCTGGATTGGAGTGGCTAACTGGATTATTTAACTCTATTTTTAGGAAGAAGAAGATTCCCGAGGATTGGAGGTGGAGTACGATGATCTCGTTGTACAAAAACAAAGGAGATATCCAAAATTGCAATAATTATAGAGGTATCAAGTTGCTTAGTTACACAATAAAAGTGTGGGAAAGGGTGGTAGAAGCGAGGGTTAAAAGTCTATTTTGAGAACCAATTCGGTTTCATGCTGGGGAGTTCGACTATGGACGCCATCCATCTTGTTGGGAGGATGGTGGAACAGTACAGGGATAGGAAGAAAGATTTGCATATAGTGTTTATTGACCTAGAGAAAGCGTACGACAAGGTACCTGGGGAGGTCCTTTAGAGATGCTTGGAGGTTAGAGGTGTTCCTAGGAATGTATGATGGAGCTAAGACTCGGGTGGGGATAGTGGGAGGAGACTCGGAACATTTTCCGATTGGGATGGGTTACATCAAGGATCTGCGCTCAGCCCGTTCTTATTTACTTTGGCGATGGATACTTGACACGTCATATCCAAGGGGAGGTGCCATGGATACTTGTGACTCACTCTTCGTCTTTACATGTATTACAAATACAGGTATGGATCCCGCACCTCAGTAGTGAGTTGAGATATTGAGCAGTTACAGTCAGAGTATTCTAATGAGTACTACCTTGTCTGTTGGAGCCTTAATTTATTCCAACATATTGTTTCTATTACAATTTTCTGCTGAGTTCTAAAGGATAACCCTAGTGTTTGCTCCATGAACTCATTGAAGTGTCTTCATTATGTTGGGATTTTCTATTTGAAGTTTAAGCCAGTATAGTAGAATTTTGAGACTGATTTTATTGCTTTTAGCTATCTGAAAACCTTGTGGTTACAAACATTATTGATGCATTTATGAATTATTTGAATGGAGTTTGGTACATTGATACAAATTTGAAGATGTCTTTTGATTTCAGGTCAAAATGTCTAATTCAGTAAATGCATGTGAAAACAACAACCTTGAAGACCATGGAGAAAATGGTGTGGATAACAGGTTTACTAGGCGAGTCTAAATCACCTAGTACCAGTCACGGCCCTAGTTTGAGTGTTGATTAGCATGATTTCAGCTGATTTGATTATATTTTAGAGATCTGATTTTATTTAATTTGATTTGACAGCTAGATTGATTGTATAGATTTATTTTATTTCCTTAATTAGTATTAGGGGCTTTGTATAAATTCACTTGCTCATGGGATGTAAACAAACACAGAAATACAAGAAGCCTTTTCTTCTTCTCAAAAATCTATAGTTGCTCAAGGGGAGTCTAGATTAGTTTGTCGAGTTCGTCAATCTCTTTATAGTCTCAAGCAGTCTCCCAAGGCATGGTTTGGCCGTTTTCGAACGTTGTCTAACAATTTGGAATGACCCGAACAAATTCTATAGGCATTTATCTAATGACAAATGTATCTTTCTAATTGTTTATGTTGATGATATTGTTATCACAGGTGATGATCATGAAGGTATTGCCAACTTAAGTAGCATCTTTCAAGTCAATTTCAAACTAAGGATTTGGGCATACTAAAATATTTTCTAGGCGTTGAGGTGGCACAATTTGGCAACGACATTGTCATCTCACAAAGGAAGTATGCCTTAGATATTTTGGAAGACATTGACATGTTGAACTGCAAACCTACGGAGACTCTATGGATCCAAATACTAAACTTGTTTCAGGATAAGGGGAGCCTCTAAAAGATCCAGCTAGATATCAGAGACTTGTTCGCAAACTCAACTATGTTATGATTCACAACACCTGACATCTCATTTGTTGTGAGTGTGGTTAGTCGGTTTCTCCCGTCACCTTGTGATAGTCTTTGGAATGCAATAATTCGCCTCCTAATATATGTCAAAGGTTCTCCGGGATAAGGTTTATTGAGTGAAAACAAGGGGCATACACACATTGTTGTGTATTCTATGCAAATTGAGCAAGTTCTTCCTCTAATAGACGGTCCACTTCAGGTTATTGTATTTTAATTGGATGCAATCTAATATCCAAGAAAAGTGAAAAGCAAGATGTGGTGGCTAGGTCAACCACAAGGCAGAATATTGGGGTATGGCATTGGCTACTTACGAGCTTATATGGCTAAGGCAACTTTTACGGGAGATAAGGTTGGAGGGGACAAGCTGACGAAATTGATTTGTGATAATCAAGCCGCATTATACATCGCTTCGAATCCAGTATTTCATGAAACAACGAAGCATATTGAAATAGATTGTCACTTCATTCGACAAAAGATTGAGTCCAGGTACATGATATGAGTTTTGTCAACTCAAAAGACGTTGCAGCTGCCCTCACAAAATCACTCTAAGCAATCAGAATTGGCAATATCTGTAGTAAGCTAGGAGCATACAACATGCACGCTCCAGCTTGAGGGGAAGTATTAAATATGGTAAGAATTGATACTATGTAAAGACAGAAAGATACACAAAATTGTAATTACACAAATCCCTGTAATTAAGTGATTAAGAGATTTTGTAGGCTTGTAATTGTAGTTTTTCCTTATTTGTATTTTTGTCAAAGTTTATTTAAACCAGAGCAGCTTGAGGGAATAATTAAGCACTCTATTCCCCATCTTTCTCGGAAATAATTGCTGAAAGTATATCCTTCAACATGAAGTTAGAAAGCCAAAGATGGATTATTTCTTGGGAAACAAAACATTCAAAGGACCTATCAGAAAAAGATAGAACGTTAGCTAGCAAATCAACCTTTACAGTGAAGGATATTCGAAGCTGTATTATGAAGAAGGAAAAGACTTAGTATCGGACAATGTACTGATGTAATAACCCAAGCTTAGTTGACTTCTATTTGCTCTGTTGATATGGATGAAGGCTCAATTTCATATATACTTTGAGTGTTTGAAATGATCAGGAACTGATTCCCTTTTGTTGGAAGTCGATTGAGACATGTTTAATAGGTTTAAATGTAGCACCCAAACCCTCCATATAGGTCTTAGAGGTCATTTGAACTCTCTTCATGTCAAAATATCACGTGTAAATGTTGTTTTAAGAGTTTAATAGGCTAGAAATTCACACAAGTGAACCCAACATAGATTTTTGAGATTGAGTTATTTTTCACAGCTAAATTGTATGGGCTTTCATATTTAGAGGTTGGATAAAGCAACTAGAAGTTTAGTTGGTAGAATCATGGGAGAACCTAGAAAACTAAAACCCTAGAATTTGAGATATGAGAAAATTGGAATACTGGTGGTTGATAATAGATTCAGCAAGCTACTATGTGGGTGACCTTAGTTGAAGCTTGGCGTCATATTAGAGGTTGCAAGTGAGTGGGGACCCTCTCCTTGGCTTGATTTCAAGGCTTGTACTTTAAAACAACGTGATTCTTACTTGTGGTGTCAGGACTCGGGACATGCTTATATGTTTACTTGTGTTTTAATGGAACTATAGGCTATACATGTACCATACATGCGATGAATGTATTAAAGAATTGTTATTTTATCTTGTGAATCATGTTGTACTTGCATATAAGTGATTTATTTTATATGTGATGGAATATAAGCATATACTTGAGATAACTTATCTGACTGCTTAGATAACTTACTAGAAGCATTGAGCATTGTAATAATGTTATGAGGGTCTGTATTTGTTAAGATATGAAGGTACATACTTGAACTACTATACAAACAAACATAATATACTCACCCATGTCGTGGAGCTTACTTATAATCAAACTAATATACAAGACATATATAATGTGCCTACTCCTATGTTGAAGCTTATTTATACCCAACCCACCTAGACGTGGAGTTGACTGCATACCAGGTCCCTAGTTGCTCGGGGAATTGGAGAGCAGTCACCTGGTTAAAAGATATTTCATAAACCTTATTGCTATATTACAAATAACTAGTATTGGAAGTATGGTACTTCTATTTGTATTAGCTAGTATGAATTAGAAGTAGCATACTTGTAGTCGTATTAGCTTGTATATGGAATATGTGCTCTACATGTTTTCAAACTTTATGTTCCCAGCCTGCCTTGATTGGACAACCATTCATTGAGTCTGTAAACTCTACTGTATTGACATTTTGGCACAAACATCTGCTAGGGACTGGCCATCACCAGAGAAAGACATCAGTTGGTGAGCTCCACAGTGCTACATGGAGACTCCAATATTTATTGACTTGTTGCTTTGACTGCTTTATAAAGACACTGTTCGAAATAACATGACGGGTTAATTCGACCCGTCATGTTCGAACTATGACGGGCTAATATTTCGACAAGTTCGAAATAACACCCTTTAAGGCCAAAGGCCTTCGCCAAAAAGAAGAGTTTGACCTCGATCGAATGACGATGGGTCTGTATTTAA